TATGTGTGTGTATATGTATGTGTGTGTATGTGTGTGTATATGTATGTATGTATGTATGTGTGTGTATGTATGTATGTATATGTGTGTATATTTATGTATGTATGTATGTGTGTATATTTATGTATGTATGTATATGTGTGTATATTTATGTATGTATGTATGTGTATATATATATGTATATACAGAAAGTTTAGAACCATAAAAGCGACATCCAGCTGTACGAAGGATCATATAAATGTTTGACGAAAGTGCACATTTCTTGATTCCATCGTAGTTTTTGACGGACTACAGTCGGTCAACTCAGAAATGTTAAAAGTAAACGCTTTGACATTCAGGCAGTGAGCAAGTTAACCAAGTAAATGTTGGCTCTGGTCTACATTTGTGTCTCCCTGACCCTGGAGGTTGGAAAGATTCAATTATCTCACGTTCCCATTATCTCACTTTGAGTCTCTGTGGAGAGTTAAAATAGACAACACTGTGTCCTGATGGAGTAGTACAATCACGACAGGGGTCAGCTGCTAAATCTGGTGTGTGTACGCACGTGTCAAATATAGTCTTTATTTAATCAGGTAAAAGTCTAAATTAAATTAAAATCTCATTTTCAAGAGTGACAAACAGAGAGGGGCATTTAGCGGCAGCATACTGGGTACAGAGGTGTACAAGATTTCCCCAAACCAGTAAAGTAAGCACATTGGTATATATTAGTATTAAACTTCTTTAGGCACTAATCAGGTACATTCATGAAGAGCAGATCACCGTAATCTAATAAAGGTAAAAAAACAAAAACAAGCAAACGTATTCTTGCCTGGAAAGGGAAACAGGATTTATTTCTTTTAACTTAGTTTCAGATTGGAAACAAGGTTTTTGATATGTGATCAATAATAGTTCTGATCCATAATAATTAAGAAACAAAAGGGACATTTAGCACATCTTAAATCATTGGAAAATGTGTGCATAGATTCATCACATGATATTTAGCGCCTAGCCTGTGAGTCAAGGCATTATGTTAGCTTCAATGTACAAGAGAGTTTGTTTACATCAACAGCTGCAAAACGGTCTTGTTCTCTCACTTACTTGAGTTCTGCCGCTTCTTCAGAGTCAAACCTGCTACTTCAAAATGATCTCTGTCGTCAAGGCGCAGCAGTTGAGAAGTACAACTCATAGTCTGTTGTGATTTATTTACCCGCATACTAACGTGTGCGCACTAACACGTTGAGTGTAATTGGGCTCCCGTTTCCTGCATTGATGTGTTGCAGACGTTCCTGTTGGCTGAAGAGTACCACCGTGAGTCCATGCTGGTCCAGTGGGAGCAGGTGAAGCAGAGAGTGTTGCACACGCTGCTCGGAGCAGGAGAGGACGCACTGGACTTCAGTCAAGACGTGGAGGTACGGGAAACACAACACAGAGCGGCTTTAGGAGGAAGGACCTCCAAAAGAAGTATATCGTTACTACAAAGGGAGACAAACTGTCTGACTCTGCTTAGAGAACACTGCTGTACCTCATGGGGAAGCTAGTTTTGCAGAACATTCCTTGCTAAAAGTTGGTATTATTTATGTGGATAAGAGTATATTATATTAATACGTCAGCTAAATGTAGGTGTCCCCATGGACCGAGCTCTGCACAGGCCCTCCACCATCTGTTATAAAAATATGAATATGTTTCCCAAAACAAGATGCAGGTCCATCACTTTCTTTTTAATAACAAAGACGACAGATGAATTGTCTATTTTTGTAATTTCTTAGTTTTTCACAGAATTGAGATTACAGATTTTACTTCCAGAGCGAGTCTGTTTTCTACTTTCTCGTATTTCACAATTGAGCTCTATAAGTGACCTCATTTTAGTCACTGAAGTTGTGGTCTGTGTGAAAGATTGCTATATTAATATTACATCATACATACATTCTGTGCAAGAATCATTGAGCAGCAGTGTCATTTCTTTTCCAATCTAGTCACATATTTATTTAACTTCCTGGGCTAAATGTGTCTCGGGTCTCTCACTGTCACTCATCTAAACTAACCAGAATAACTGTTTCATCTGAGACTCATCGGTGCTATTTTTATCTTGCTCCTGAATAAAGTAAAATACTTTCATCCTGTGTGTCATTTGCTGAAATCAATCCCAGCATGCATTGGGCAACAAGCGTTGAAACATCATGGTCCTCCTATCTGAGCCGGAAAGACTCAAAACACAGAATAGTCGGCATAAAAAAAGAGGATTTATTTAAGATGCTAATTGATTGTCACATCAGATAAAATGAAAAGTTTCATTGGTACGTGATTGGTGTCTCTATTTTCTAGCTTTAGTTACGTTCCTTATTAAAAATGCAGCGTATTTATCAAGTCATCTGCTGCCTCTCTGTTTGTTGCAGCCGAGCTTTGTGAGTGAAGTGACCGCTCCAGGAAGGAGTGCGTTGGACAGCGTGGAGGTGGCGTATGGACGACAGGTGAGTCGATGTCGGACTGATCATTTTGTGTTACATGGAATAAACTTTAGATGAAGATTAATGTACAGAAACATTACAAGAAAATGCCAAGGCACTCTCTTTTTAAACAATTAGAATGCTTTTATTCTAATGGCATCGTTGGACCTAAAAACAATCTCGGACGTGTTTCGGCATCAAGCCTTCATCACGAGTGCAAATGTATATTTGATGAAAGATAACTTCCATCCCATTTATCTCAGTGCTGCTGGGTCTTTTTATTTTATTTATTTTTCTTTAACTGTGCTACTGGGGAGCATCTGAGTCAGAATCTGAAAACTATATATTTGCAGATATTCATTATTTTAACACAGATGTGTGAACGAGTCTGTTTGTGATGCCCTCGTTCTGATTGTTCTGTTAAAATGGGGTCACAGCCAGACAGGAAGTGGGAGATCAAACATATCGATTGATTGGGCGGTAGAGGGTGGCTCTGGGTAATTCTTTCTCCCTCTCTGTCTCTCTACCATCCCTCCTCCCTCATCATCCTGTCTGACCTTCTCTCTCTCTCTGTTTGTCTCTCATCTGCTACGTGACGCAGTACTTTAATTGTGGCTTTTCCTCTGACCATGTGTCGACACATTGCATGCGGTGTCATTTGTCTCGTTTTTTTTGTCCTCTTTGATGACCTCTTAAACATTTTGATCCTCCTTTTCTTGTTTTTCGTCGTAAACCATTTCACTCGATGGTCATAGTGTTGACTTTTACGTCTGAAGCCGAGGATGGAGTTGTAGGCGGATTTTATTTTGAAACATTCATTTGCAAATGTAGAAATTCAACATGAAAATTCAGCCTTTGACGAAACCCTTTTTTTTTTCTCTCTCTCCGTTTCACCACCACGACGACGTCTTCTTCCTCCAGATTTACATTTTCAATGAGAAGATCGTGAATGGTCACATTCAGCCTAATCTGGGAGACTTATGTGCGTCTGTCGCAGAAAGCCTGGATGACAAGGTAAGAACATCTGCTATCACCATGAAATTGTTGTTTTCATTATTTTGTAAGATATAGCTTACTTGTACTCTGACGGCTAATATACACTCTGTTTTTTTCCAATACATGCCTTTAAGTAACTGACCGTCGCCCTCTCTCTTCCCTCCAGAACGTGTCAGACATGTGGCTGATGGTGAAGCAGATGACAGACGTGCTGCTGGTTCCAGCCAAAGACACTCTGAAAAGTCGCACCTCTGTTGAAATGCAGATGGCCTTTGTACGCCAGGCGCTCAGCTTCCTAGAGAACAGGTAGCGTTGTTGTCTAAAGTGCAGGGGTTTGAAGAGCTTAAGCTTTCTGTACATCCAAGTTAGCAGAGGGCATACAGGAGTTAAAATGTAAGCCGGACTGCACCATGATATTGTGTGTGTGTGTGTGTGTGTCCTCGTCCTCTCTCCCAGTTATAAAAACTACACCATGGTGACTGTATTTGGGAACCTCCATCAGGCCCAACTAGGTGGAGTGCCAGGAACGTACCAACTAGTCCGCAGCTTCCTCAACATTAAACTACCGGGGCCTTTGCCTGGCATGCAGGTAACACACGCATATTCTCAATGTTTTCTTTGTTCTACCAATAATATCACTGCTAAATATTTGGTAAACCTTCCGATCGTATCGCACCAACAGTCGTGATTGTGAACGGATCTTCACTGATGTTTGCAGCCAGAGACTGTACATGATAAGTTTTGTTTTTTTTTTAGAACAAGGTTAATTAATGTGCAGGTCAAAAACTATTTTTTGGACAGAATCTTTATTTGAAATGAGTATATTAATATAGTCTCCAGTGTATTAAATGTCTTTGTGTCTTTTCAGGATGGTGAGATAGAGGGCCATCCAGTGTGGGCTGTGATCTACTACTGTCTGCGATGTGGAGATCTGAATGCAGCCATGCAGGTTGTGAACAGAGTGCAACATCAGCTGGGAGACTTTAAGACCTGGTTTCAGGAGTACATGAACAGCCCTGACAGGCGGTGAGAACCCCTTAGCTCCTTGTCTTGTATGTATATGTTGAGATGCACACAGAGGTCAAACTGAATCATCATTTACGCCACTCGATCTTCTCCCTTCAGCCTTTCGCCAACGTCAGAGAACAAGCTCCGCCTCCACTACCGCAGGGTGCTGAGGAACAGCGCTGACCCTTACAAGAGAGCCGTCTACTGCCTGATCGGGAAATGTGACATCAGTGATAACCATGGAGAGGTGGCAGACAAGACTGAAGACTACCTCTGGCTGAAGGTACAGCGGATGTTTATTTCAACCTAAAGCATTAGCACGCTGGCCAGAGGAGATGCTGGCCCAGATAATGATCATCATTAAAAGTTCCACGGCTTGTTTAACAAAGTGTGTGCCGTGTTTTTTTTCCCTGCAGTTGAACCAGGTGTGTTTTGATGATGACGGCAGCAGCTCTTCTCAGGACAGACTCACCCTGCCACAGCTGCAGAAACAGCTGCTGGAGGACTATGGTATGGAACTGCATTTCTGTTTCAGCTTGACAAATGACCAGACATCTTTCAACTTTAGTTTCTCGACAGTGTGATGCATCACTTTTGCCTCCCCGCCCTACCTCCGTTCCATTATGTTTTCCTCAGGGGCACTTGAGAAGCACATGTGTGCATGCGTGCCGTTCAATGTGGACCACACTTTCCTTTGGTCGTCTTTGGCTCATTGTAGAGATGCACAAATTCAAATCTTCATTCTAAGAACTATAATTGACAGCAGGGCTCCAGACTACCTTTTCTCTTTACCACCATCCCCGAAAATAATTCAGTCAGTAAGTCAGTCTAAACTGTCAAATATTCTAAATGTTTTCCTCTGTTTTATTCTCGTCTGTAGTATTTATTTGCATAAAAACACACAATTCAAATGATTAGGAAATAAATGATTTTTTTTTTTTTATTCAAATACAAAACAATCATCTTGGCAATAGTGGTTTTAATGATGTATTATAAGCTGCTTAGAGCTAGTGTTAGGAAGTTAAAAGGGTCATAATTCTCTTTATATTGCTGTGAAAACATCTCCTTCAAACAGCTGTTTTTTATTCAAGTTGTTTCACCCAAAACTACATTTTACAGGATTGCATGTGAACACATCATGATAATGAGGGTACATCCCTTTTGCATTCTGTTTTCTGACTTTTTGTTTTGTGCATTCTGAACTGTATTCTCATTCATTCCTGCCATCTCAGTGCTGGTTTTCCTTGTCTTGTCTTTCGCTTTGCTTCAAATTGTTTTTTTAATCTTAAAGGAGGCCGCAGACAAAAGATTTGTGTATGCACACATGCATGAACACAAAAACCTCAATTTGGAGATGCTGATAAGCCACCTTAGAAAGAAATCAATAAACTGAAATTTGTGTAGCAAAATGAGCAACTCCTGGAAGTAAAAGTGGTGCATGGATGATTTAACAATACTAAAGTAAACGGCTATGAATATTTCAGCTTAGTTCCTGAAAAATCATGTTTGTTCCTTTTTTAGTTTGGTTTGTCGAACAGCTTCAAACGCTACAGTACCCATGAGCCTCAGCAACTGTATCTCTGGACAACAAGCCAGCCAGAAGTGTGACTCGCAGCGGTAGCAAAGTCTGAGCCCTTCGTCAAAGTACACAGAATTGATTTTTTTTAACTACCAAATGTAGAAATAGCAACACAGTTTCTCATCTTTTCTACTTATGATTCAGCCAGGGGAGTTTCTCGCTTGAAAGCGCTACACCTGCCAGTCACCTGCTGCCTGTGCATAGAATTAGATTACGTCTCCCGTCTGGTCTCTCTGTCAGCCTTATCGAATGCCTTTAGTGAAGTTAAAAGAGACAGCTGCCGCTTAAACTCTCATCCAACCATTGTTCCTCCTGGCTGCATCTCACTGCGTCCCCGACTGCTCTTCAATAATTCTGTGCCCTTGATGTTTCAACACAGTGAATGTTAGAAGAGGGGACAGGAGGCACACTTTCTGTTCTGAGTGGAAGTTTTTCAACTGGGGGAGTTAGTGAAGAGTGTAAAAATGTGGAGGCACTCAAAAAAGCAGCGAGCAAAAAGCTTCACTCTCATTGAAAACCATTATCAAAAGCTTCCCCGGGCTGCTACAATTTCACTCTGTCTGATCAGGGCCTCAAACAGCCACATGCCCCCGATACACACACACAAATAAATGGGAGCATAAGGGCGTTAGGCCTTTTCTCTCCCACAGATTGAGAAAGCCGTTTTCTCCCCTGGGTGCTGCCTTCTCCACGGGCCGATCCTGCTCCGTTCAGATAACACTGCTCTTTTCCTTTTCCACTCTCGGTAGCCCCTCACCCTCTCCCCCTCTCTCTCTCTCTCTGCTCATTGGGAAGTACAGCCTGAAGCCACATTCTGTTCTCCCTCATGCTGCTCTGCTCCTTCGGTTGTCTGGCTCAGTGTTCCTTGTTGTATTCCATCTTGCTTCACAGCGGGACGTAAAGCCCAAAGCCCCGTCTGTTCCTCTCTCCTTCGTTCGCTGCATCCCTGCCCTCCTCTCGTTTTATCCTTTATCCCCGTTTCTCCTTACACCTGCACCGCCGCTTCCCCTCCTTCCTCCCACTGATTTCCGGCCCCCTTTTTTTCCGTCTTCTCTCCTTCCATGTGTTCTTTCTCATTTCTTGTTTGTACAATCTGCTGCAGCCCACCCCCCACGCTCTTATCTCGCCTCCTTCATCCTCTTCCTCCTCTTCATCGCTCTCTTCCTCTCTCATGCGCTTTCCCTTTTTGAGCTAAAGTGCTGTAAGTCTGAGATAAGGCTAGAAAATGGCTGACATGGTCCACCCTGTTCTACTCCTCAGCCAGCAAGAGGATTAAGGATTATAATTAAAAAGTAAATTTGATGACTAAGTACCTGCACTTGACAGCATATTTTCAAATTCTTGCATGTTAGTTGCCATAGCAACTGTCAAAAAGCCACCGTGGCATGTGTGGACCCGAGAGTTAAACTGGTGTCTTAAATGGCTGTTATAGTTTAACACATTTAAGGACATGATGGCAGCAGGAGAGTTTCTATAGTAACTGTCAGATAAATGCTGAAAAACCCACACAGGTGATTTTAATTATTTACTTGATTAGACCTTAATTGACGGGTCCCTCTTTAATGTTTGCACTCAAGTTTGCAGAAAAGTGGGAGTAGATTTGAGTAGAGTCATGCAGATAAAAAAGATCTGAAGAACTGAAATATGTCTGAACACAGTCGGACATTAAAGGTGTGACCTCTTTTCCTCCTGAAATGATATGCTGGTTTTAATTAATGCGGAAATACTTCATCCGAACGAACTCCCTCCCTCTCTCCCCTCTTGTCCAACAGGAGAGTCCCATTTCTCTGCGAGCCAGCAGCCCTTCCTGTATTTCCAGGTGTTGTTCCTGACGGCTCAGTTCGAGGCGGCGGTGGCTTTCTTGTTTCGCGTTGAGAGACTTCGGAGTCATGCTGTGCACGTGGCGCTGGTCCTGTACGAGCTGCGGCTGCTGCTGAAGTCGTCCGGCCAAAGCGCTCAGCTGTGTGAGTGTATTCACCTTTTTATTTTGTAGCGTGACACAGGACCCCTTGAGAAAGAGATTTTAGCAAAAACTAAACGTGCTGACGTGTTCTCTGTAGTGAGCCAGGAGCCCGGTGACCCTCCCATGGTGCGCCGCCTCAACTTCATCCGTCTGCTCATGCTGTACACTCGCAAGTTTGAGTCCACTGATCCACGGGAAGCCCTGCAGTACTTCTACTTCTTACGGTAAATAGTATTACACTCTCACAGTCAGTATTGGGATTTTATGACCCTGTACCATAACGATAGGGAGACTGTGTGTGACAAATATTCTGAATTAAATTCAGCTATTTCTTTTTCTCCAGTGATGTTCACCATAATGCCTCTGTTGCTAATTCCTACTGTGTGTGTCTGTTCTGCAGTAATGAGAAAGACAGCCAGGGAGAAAACATGTTCATGCGCTGTGTCAGTGAGCTTGTTATTGAGAGTCGTGAGGTGAGTGACCCACATATACACAGAGACCCTGTGGAAAAAATGCCGATACAGTTGTTTAATGCCTTTTAACACCGTTAGCAGCCTTGACTAATGCCGAGTGTTTGTTAAAGAGGGACAGAGCATATCCATTTATTAGTTTTTCTTTTTCTCCTGATCTCATCTCGGACGTCTTGATCTTTCATCCAATACTTCTCTACTTGTAAAACAAGAAAATGTGTTGTGTTTTTTGAATTTCTTTACTTTTTTAAATAATTTTAATTTAAAATCTAACTTTAGACTTTGTGTTTTAGCTTTGTAAATATAAGTGGACAAAATATAGTTTTGAAAAGACCTTTCATCATATTACAAAACAAAAGAAAGTAAAAATGATAGGCTTCATAATGTAGGATTTATTTCAGGGCTGTTGAACATAAAGGTGTTTCTATTCCTCTGGTTCTGTATACTTGATGTGTTTTTGTGTCTTCTTTACAGTTTGACATGCTGTTGGGGAGATTAGAGAAGGACGGCAGTAGGAAGGTAAGAAGATTGTCTTTGATCTCTCCTCTATTCTGTGGTTGTGTTTCTATTAATGCTGTGACGTCTCACTCTGCCTCATACTTCTCGTCTGTCACTCTCTCTCACTGACTCTCTTTGACGCTCCTCGGTTGGCAGCACTTTGTTCCTCTGTCATGGATCCAAAAGCTCTTCACAATGCTTCCTTGAATCCTTTGCTTACAAAATGTTCTTGACATTTCTCACCGTGCCTGCAGCACTCTGCAAAATGTGACGTTTGAGGGGATTTTATTCTCCTCAAGTTCACAATGCTGTACGTTTCATTCTACCCACGTGATATGATATGACACGAGACCTTTCCATATGTTTATGCTTTAGATCAATATGATGGTCATGTAGCGTGTACCTGAAACAATTCAGACCTGTGATACTAGCAGACAAAGTTAGTCAGAACCAGTGTTTAGAAAAAGAAGAACATTGATATTAGAACTCTGAGCTGTGAAGGTGTCACAATATGAATTTGCATTTAAAAATGGAAATTTTATAAAAAGAATATATATAAGTCCAATTGGCATTTGTGGTGGTAAGAAGCAGCAGTATGTGTCTGTTGGTGCCAAAGGGTTAGTCAGTCACTGGTAGTCAATCAGGGCCATGTTTACGGTTTTGGTGATGGTGGTTATGTTATGACATAGTTATGACCAATTCTCCCCTTACAGGATCCATTTTTACTATTTGGAAAAATCGTCATATAAATGGAATTTCATAGATGTTAATAGATCAAATGTCTGCGTTTTCTAACGTTGATTATTTGGTTTTCCGCTTTTATTTGATGCTTTTTTTTTTAATCTCATGATTGTTTACTGGAATCAAACCAACCACTCAAGGATAGTTGCCATTCTATCTGCTCAATCATCACAAATGTGGTATCCTCGGTCTCACTCTGATCCTCTCCTCCTCCCTCTAGCCTGGAGTCATAGATAAGTTCGCCGGGGACACCAGAGCTATCATCAGTAAAGTGGCTCTGGAGGCCGAGAACAAGGGCTTGTTTGAGGAGGCAGTCAAACTCTACGAGCTGGCCAAGGTGAGCACACCTGTTCGTGTGATCTCTTCGTCCACAGACTGAACCTGTGTTCCTGCGAGAGCTGCTGTCTTTTGCAGCTGTTTGTTTTGAGTCCTCTCTCACTGTCTCTCTGTCTTTTTCCATTTGTCTCTGTCTAGAACTCGGATAAGGTGTTGGAGCTAATGAACAGGCTGCTGAGTCCAGTCATCGCCCAGGTCAGCGCTCCTCAGTCCAACAAGGAGAGGCTAAAAAACACTGCCGTGGCTATTGCCGAGAGGTAGGACACGTGCACATCATGCACGAGTTTAAATCTAATCCAGAGCATATCAATCTGAAAAAATACTGAATAATTTCCTCTTTCCGCTGCAGGTATCGTTCTCAGGGCGTAGCAGGAGATAAGTCCGTCGATAGTACTTTCTACCTGCTGTTGGACCTGACGACGTTCTTTGACGAGTACCACGCGGGTCACGTTGACCGAGCCTACGACGTGAGTGCAGCGCAACAGTCCCGATACAGACACACATGTCACACTCCTACTATGTGATGCCAAGATTACTATATTCAAGGGATATATGTTGAATATGTGAAGCTTATTAAAAACCAGTACAAAGACACGCACATCCAGAGTCTGATAGGATGGGTGCTGGACCAAAGCACACATCGTGTATATAATGGTATGTTCCTTTCATATCCCATCATCATCTTTATGTATCGTATACGTAGCCTTGCTATACTATCGGTGCATATGTTTGATATACAATGTATTTTCTTACTAATATTTCATATTTGATTGTCCATCTGCAGCAGGCGTGGTATGTCACGTGTGCTCATTTGTGCATTGTGTGTATTTAATGGTGCTCGACACGTTACGCAGCGATGAAAGTCCTAACAGGAGCTCCTTGGTCTATCTGTTTGAATTCTGCTGAATATGCGCAGCGCCTCTGTTAATGCCGTTGCTCTCTGTGTTCCTCTACCAGGTGATGGAGCGTTTGAAGCTCCTTCCTCTCAGTCAGGACAGTGTGGAGGAGAGAGTGGCTGCTTTCAGGAACTTCAGTGATGAGGTGAGATCAAGATCTGAACGCTCAAAAGGGGACTTTCAGACTTTCCCACAATACGCAGCATTATTCTTTTACCGTTTTCTAAAAGTGTCCTCTGTGTCCCCAGGTGCGCCACAACCTGTCTGAAGTGCTGTTGGCCACCATGAACATCCTGTTCACTCAGCACAAACGCCTGAAGGGGGCGCCGGCAGGCACGCCAGGACGACCACAGAGGACCATAGAGGACAGAGACATGGTGAGAAGACGGGCTCTGATGGAGCAGAGGGACAAACTGAAGCAGCTGAAAGGGATGGATATTATATTAGAGCAAGATTTGTTGTGTCTGGATAAACAGGAGATGTATCGTCTAGTTGTCAAGGAAGTCCGTAACAAACACTCGCAACAAATGAAAAACCGTCTGATAAGATGTACAGAAGCTGTCTCTCCTTACAGTGTTTTGATTTCCTCTTCCTCTTCTTTTTCTTCTTTGAACAGCAACTCCGCAGCCAGGCCAGAGCCCTGATCACCTTTGCTGGTATGATTCCCTACAACATGGCCGGAGACACCAACGCAAGACTGGTGCAGATGGAGTTACTGATGAACTGAGACATCACACGCGCACACACACGCACACACACACACACAGAATCATTTTGGTTTTATCAGACTCAGTCATATTCACACACACTCACTTGTCGACCATTTTTGTTTTGTATAGAATCCAACGTTCATCATTGTGTTAACAGACACATCCTTATATCATCTGTCTGAGTTGTCTGTTCTTTTTGTTCTGTTCTCTCTTTTTTCAGTTTTGTTGTTTCATATTTGTATCTTTGATGATTTGGAATAAAAATTAAGTGTACTTTTAAGTTGTCTTTTTTTATTATTTTAAACCACTCCATGTCCATTACTTTTCCTTTGTTTCCCCATTTAGCCTTACTTTTTAAAAACTGTTTTCTCAGTAATTGTTGCATGTGCAGAGCAGTCAGTTTAAAAATGTTCATTTCCAAAGTATGACGGGTAAACCATTCTGCATCTATTATGACACGTAAGTCTTGTAGATGTTCAATCACTGTACCTTTCAAAGTGGAGAGTTTATAATAGGAACAATGTTGCATTTGCAACATTGAGCTCAATATAATGTACACTGCTAACTCTCAAACATTGTCTGAGGCCTCAGAGCTCATCTCTTCACGGAGTAAAGTGTCGATTGATTGTCCGTTTTAGACATCTCAGCTCCCTCTGGTTTAATGTGAGCTAGTTACTGTCTACAATTCCTGGTCCTGAGTGTAGCGGGCAGACGCCATGTTGTCGCCACAGGCTGTAGTGCCGTATCTGACACCGGCAGATGGTGGGTTGGCTTGAAGCCGATTGGAGGACTGGAGGGATATTTCTGTTTGTCTCAGTATCAGAAGGGTGATTTCTGGGGTAACGAAGGGAGAGATGTTTTTTTTTTTTTTTTAACACAGTCTTCTTGTTCAATCACTATATTTGACAGATGAAAAAGTTGTGGGTTGACATCCTCTTACGAAAAGCCTGTTTCAATTAATTTAATGCTGGATTTGCCCCACAGTTTTGGCGCTACATGTCTTTACTGTTAAACGGTGCAAATGGGGTTGTGAAGAATGCTCACAAACACTCAGTTTGCTGGACTTCATGAGTCATCATTTGGCTCCAAATGTCACTTTAAACGAGTCCTTACACTTTCAACAATTTCACTTTGCACTGTGATTTCTCAAAGTATAAAGCGCAAATGTAGCAACTGGTATTACCCAGCTGACTTTACACATTAGCAACTGCAGGGAGATGCCATAGCAGCCATCCAGAACAGCATAGTAACAACCTGACAACTCTTTGAATGCATCCAGCAACAGCCTACCCGGACATTTAGCAGCAGAAACTGACTCCGGTTGAGGTTTGCAAGCCACCGACCACATGCAAATCTTCAAAACTAAAATACAATCACCCATCATCCCCTCTGTTAAATTGGTGGCCCACGCTCTCTGTCCTTCAGTCTGGCCTGAGAGGACACAGATGGAGGCTCATTCTGTCTTGGCTTCTCCACATATCTGTACTGAGATGTTGAGACAAAGCTGAGCCAAGTACTATGGGATCCATGCTGTCGTACGCCTTCCCAGTGCTGTAGGCAGAGACACACCAGTGCCCCCCCTACACTTAATAATATGCCCGACAATCTGGAAATCACCTAAATAACAGAGTAGCTATCCTCAACTAAAATCAGATGCTGATTAACCCGTCACAATGGAGTGAGTATTTTGTACAACCTGCCGTGTGTGTGTGTGTGTGTGTGTGTGTGTGTGTGTGTGTGTGTGTGTG